ATAAATGAAACATCTTCAGTGTGCCATTAGAGCTACACAAGCCTAAGTACTTGAAACAGTCGAATCAAGCAGCAATTCTTGCATTCATGCATTCAAAATGAAAACACACACTGCCTAGACTGCAGTTTCACTTGTACTTAGTCGACTTAATGGTTCACTGCCTAAAGAGGAAGACCTCATCCTCCCCATTCTCATCTCTTCGTGTTCTCTTATTCCACCATTCTTCCTTCTTGATATCTTCCTACTCTCACTTGCATGGTCCTATCTGTTTTCTGACAGCCACACCAGCCACTATCACACCTTGCAGTGAATCAGTTCTTCTCACTAGTATGACAGAACGCTATGATCTCTTTGCTCTTTGGTTTCTGCTGGTTTGGAGAATGAAAAGACTCCACAGAAGAACCAAACAAGTACCTGAACCAGCAAAAGGCAAACAAGAAAAATTCATGTTAGGAGTGTAGGTATGGAGAAGATGAGAGCAGGTAACTCCACTTTACAATGTCTGGACACCAACCCTTTTGTTTACTGTTTCTCTTGACACCACCACACAAACACAAAAGGAGGTACATCCAGAATAAACCTGTTTTGAAAACTGCAACGGAAGTGATTTTGTTTGCTTTCCAATACAGCAGTGATATCTCACATGTAAGGAATGTGATACTTCATGGGATTTCAATGCTTTTGAATTTAATCTTACTTTCTATTCTTTACTTAATCACCAACTTGTTTTGAGACTGATGTAGGATATGCAACAAGATCTCAAGAGATTCAGAGAGTGATGGGTAGCTAGCACTGTATTCTAATACAGTAGAGAGCTGATCATACAGTGTCTTGATGTGCATTTATGTCAAGCATTTACATAAATCCTTCTCTCATGGATTTCTTCACTGTAAAATCCCTGGTTGTGAGCACTGTATAGGAATATATGGATTTTCGGATTGCCTTCCATCCAGTGTTCCTCACTTACTAGCATGAGAGCTATATTCCTATGCTATTTCTATTATATGCTAAAGTGAAAAAAGAAAAATAGATAAAAGAAATTCTACATAGACAAGTCTTAAACTCTACGGAGGGCTTTTTGTTGTGCTTGTCAAACATTTTGTAAGTCAATACAAATCAATTACAGCAATTATATGAAGAAAAATTGGTTGATTTTTTGATTTCTTTTCCAGGGTTAATTTTCTATTGAGAAAAAGCCTATCTATGACAAACAGCTTCCCGGAGAAGGCTGGGAAGGTCTTCCTTCACTGCAGCTGTGCCAGCACAAGTTAACAGCACCATGAAGAGTACAGATCTGCTCCAGGTTCCCCAGCCTTTGATTCAGCATGTGAAATATATGGAGACTAGACCAAATTGCAGTCTGGATCCTGGACTCTGACAGAGCACTATCCTTGGAGGAGGTGTGAAATAAAGGAGAAGCCACGAAAAATACCTCTGAGAGCCAGGAAAGTCCGGTTTTCACAAAGCAGACATCTGATTTTAGAATTCAAACAGAATGCAATTTTGCTTTAGGAGCATACAATTCCAGTACATTTGTGACTATTACTACCTCAAAAATAAAAACCATAAACAAGAGAAACTTAAAATCTCATAACACGAATACAAAACAAATACTAGGATAGAGGAATCACTGGGTACGTAAACAGCTGTCCTTTCTTCCTCAGGGGCATTGTACTTGAAAATAGCTATGTTAAATACTAATGTCAAAGTTCCTGTGCTCATAGGTTTTCTGAGAAAAACATCACGACTTTGAGCTCCTTCAATATGAAATTACAAAGCAATTACTAGACAAGTCATGTAATCAGCCTGAAAGACATGTAAATTTATATATTTCAAAATTTTTTTAAAAAAACACATAAACCCTACTTTAAGTTTTAGAACAGCTTCCAGAACTTCTTTGTTTCTCATTTCCAAGTTGAAATATTCCTCATCTCTCAAGTGAAAAATGAGTATGTAGTTTGATTCTTTAATAAAATTCTGTACACTTCAGAAGAAGCCATTAATTTCAGTTTTGTGTTCTAACAGAGCACTAAAATAACACTCTTGTGCTTCAGAATAATTCCACTTCTTTTTTTTTTTTTTTTTTTAACTAATTGCATTTCCATGTATTTTCAAAATACCACCACTTAGCAGTAAGGCTAAGTTAAGTTTCAAACACTTCCAAGTTTTTCATACAAGATAATGCATACCTGAAAGATAATCATTTAATCATCTAAAAAGCTTGATTACTTGACTTAAAATAAAATCTCTGTACAGTTAGCAAACAAAGGGGAAATTTGAAGTGGTTCAATCAGCTTTCTTGGCAGGCAGCAATACTCCCTATGTTACTGAAATTACGGTCTTCCAGATAGGAATAAAAGTTATCTTGTTTTCTTTTCTTCTGTGTGACTGACATACCCACACAAAAATGATGATTCCATGTCTAGTGGAAGAAATGTAATTAAAAGAGTTGATTAGCCAACTGACTGCTAGACATGCAACAAAACCAAAAACCCACTCCATAACAAAAGGATTTCAGACAAATTAAATCCTCCAGCAGATTTTGAGAGATTTATTAGCACTCACTGGAGTGGAACTGAAGTCCAAAAAAACAGCAAAAGATCTGTAAACATCTGCTCAGATCCTTCATCATGCTCCAACGAATGAAGTACTACAGCCACTGTGCTGGTAACAGGGTAACATCTGCACTGACTCACACCAATGCCAGGTTATAGTTTGGTGACAGGAGATTTAACTTCAGACTCAGATCCTCTGTCAGGTTCCCTTCACAAACAGACACAAATCAGAGATTCCACTGCACTGCAATACAAATAGCAGTTCACTCTGTCCGTAGAAACAGACTGGCACAATTTTCTTCTTCTCCCTTAACATTCATAAGCAGTCAAAATTCTAGTGGTTCCCTGTCTCCTCCTGCCCTTTCAACATCTCCAGCTTCAATTGCAAAAATCAGTTTACTTAAAAGAAACGCTTCCATTTCTAAACTACCTATATTAAAGATGTCTACCTTTCCTCTCCTTGAAAATGTTTATATAATCTTTACAATTTTAGATCAAAATTGAAGTACATTGCAAAGTTTAATGGGAAGATCTCAAATCTACTTTCTACAAACCTAACATCAGGAGGGATAACACATTTAAAAACAAAACAAAACAAAACATCCTTAAAATAGACGTATTAAAAAGCAGTCTATAAATTAAATTTGTCCTTATCAGCAAAAATCTATTTGAAGTTCTCTTCAGTTCTGGTAAACCCAAGTTTAAAACTAAAAAAAATAAAAAAGGGATCCCTAAAAACAACATAATAAGCAGCCTGGAACAATGACCATATTAGGAAATATTGAAAGAATTGTGATTGCCTCTGAATTAAAGAAGGAAACTAAAGGATATAATGGCAGGAATATGTAAAATAATGATTGTCACAGAGGTATTTTTCCTAATACATTGCTCCCTCTCATACCACAAAAAAAGTATCACTGGCCAATGAAACTGGAAGAAGAATTAAAAATTTTATATATAATGTGTAATTAGCTTATAAACTGCAAGGAATCACTGTACTAAAGACTGCAAAAAAGACTATATGCTTATGTAGGAGCTAACAAGATTTAGCAGCTTCACTGTGAAAGATTAAAATGTACATCACCTTTACAATCACCTCTCAAACTTCACACCAGACCAACTGATTATGGTCTAGGAAAAACACTCCTATGGGCTGCATGTTCCTTAGCAACCCACTGCATGACTTTTTTTGTGCAGTTAATTTTTGTTTTCCTCATTAATAGCAATCTGCTATGTCTGTTGCTGATTGCTTTTATGCACAACATGTCAGATTAAATGCACCATTTCCATTCCTGGCCTTCCATCAAAATTCTTCAAACTGTGGAAGTTTTAGCTTATTCTTAACCATGACTGCCAGAGGGATTTTTTCAATACATGTATTTTATTTATTTTTTGTGCAGGCATGAAAACAGAGATCTTATTTTTAGCTCTGGTAAATGAAAAAAATTAGCTTTCAGAACATTCCATTCCTCCTGCGATTAAATTATGAAAACAGAACTAAAGTGTAACTCTCATATCATGTGTTATTGCAGCACTACTTCATTTCCATGCTGAAAGCCCCCCAAAACACTTTGAAAACTTGGATAGTCTTTTTTCAACCTACCATCAGTACATTAAAATCTCGAACTCTTTACAGACACTGCTTGATTTCCTTCACCTCTGGTTTATGTATTTCAAAGAATAAAAAAACATTTTTGGTGCAAATCAGTACTACCAAGAGTTCCAATATTTCAATCAAACCACATTTTCCTAATGGAATAAGAAGTCCCACAAACAAATTTTTTAACTATGTAATTTCAACAAATGTCAGAAATGTACTTAAAAACCATTTGTGCCAAGTTTTGAAGTTATTAAAAATGGAGAGTTGTACTCCGTTTCTCATTTTGTGTGGTAACTGCATTTATTTTTAGGCTTTTAAGGAAAGCCTTATTTAAAATAAATTATAAAGGAATTCCCATGCAGACTCTAAAGGGATCTATAGAGCAGATACAATGGAGACTGTATACTCATATACATACTGTTGATCTTCATGTACATTTATCCTGCAGCATAATGTTAAAATAAGTCATAACTGAAGAGATTTGGAAAAAAATTATAAAATCAAAATTATAAAAATCAAGAGTTTCGATATGTTGTCAATCACTTTCTAACAGTGTTTGATAAATTTCAAATAGTTAAAAATAAGGTATTTTAAGTTCTTACATTTAATAAGTTAAACTATAAAATGCTTTCTGCTTAATACATTTTGATTAAATAATTTTACAATATGTAAATAAATACAATATGGACAGCCTTTCTATTTCAATCAAAATGTTACTACTCATATTAATAAGAGACCTCATGATTACAGAATCCACAATTGCTACAAACAATGATGTCCAGTAAATCACAAATACAAAACCTAAAAAAAAAAGCAAACACAATAAAAGAAGAATCAAATCTTACCCATTCTTGAAATATAAAACATGTGCTCTTTGCAGTCCTGTTTCCATGAAAAAACCAAGTTCTTGTTCATGTGCAGTGGGCCCTGGCTTAGGGCTTCTGTTTTGTATATTGGCATTAATTACCTAATAAAACATAAGAAAACGGGAAAAAATGTATTTAGAAAAAAAAACCAAAAATCAAGCTTTGTGTACTTTTACACAAAAGTTAATACTTAATGTTGGAGAAATGTTTGCCATCTGTAGGTAGTGGCTAGTGGACTATTTCTATCCTTACCTCCATTGCCACCCTTTTCATTCCTGGATATACCCCTAAAGTCAATTTATTCACCAAGCAGAAATACTCCTAAACAAGATTTTATTATAGTTTTTCAAAAATTTTTGTGAAGAATGGTAAACAAAAGGGAAGAATATAAAGAAGCATATTTGCAACCTTATTCAGTTAGCAGGAGGTGATGATATTCAAAAATTTAAAACTCAGGTTAAAAAAGACTGCTGCAGAGAGCAGTAAGATTAAAAGCTACCTCCAGAGTGACTTCCAAAAAACAATTTAGAAATAACTTAACTGTATTACATCAGTATTAAGAATGCTGTCAAAATGGAGAGCTATCAGCTTTTGTTTGCCTTCATATTCACTGTACAGTCTACCAGATACTAAAAGCCAATAACAAAACAAAAACCCTTAGAAAATACAAACCTGTATCTATTTTAAAAACAGTGCGAATTACTGTTCTCCCCATCACATCAGTCTTCTTCCCCATTTCTTTTGTTTGCATGATCCTAACTGTGTCCTATAACCCCTTCAAAGACACCTGTTAAGTGACAGGCCCGAGGCTCATAAGCAATAGGTCTGAAAAAGAGGGTCAGATGGATATTGCCAGCTCACTTCATTCTAACAGCATTCACAACACAAAGAACAGAGTCCCAAGTGTATTGCTTTTTTTCAAAGGTATCTTTAAGCCTAAATAAAAAGCAGCAGTGTGTAACTACTAGAAATAAAGGGTACCACAAATTCTCTTTTCTCTAAAAAAACACTTAAAATAACACCAAATGAAGAGCCTAAGCTTAACTTTCCATAATTCATAATCCATAACTTGTAAAAGGGAAGGAGGGTGCAGTAACTTGCCTAATATTCTGCAGAACTGTCCAGAAGTTATATCTTGTCTACAACATTAAGAAGTTCAAATATAACAGCTTTCATCAATGAAATCCAAGTCTCCTACATATCTAGTACCTTGGATTTTGACAGTAACTGTAGTGCCATATATACATACAGTAAGGACTGTATTACTGAGATAAACTGACAAATGTGCTATCAAATCCAAGAACACTGTCCTGACTCAATTTATAGAACTATTAAGACTTTTCTACATTTTAAAATCCTATGTTTATCTGGCTATCAGATCACGATTTTTCCATTGCCCGGGGATTGTGCCTATTTGGTGAAGCAAATGCTGTCAGTTACTGTTCTGGATACCACACTGATACATCATTGTACCTGCTGACAGGTACAATGTTAGGTCTGAATTTTACCTTCAAGTAGTTTATAACAGAGAATTTAGGTGCAATTATGTTATTGGCTTCAAATAAGCATCAACAAGACTAATTTTCAATCTTCACAGCTTCATTTTGAATTAAATTCTTTTTACAAATTACCCGAAAATCTAGTAAGTATATAAATGCAATACACATATTCCAACATGTGTGTTTGAAAGACACCATAATCCCATGTGCATGAATGAACTACCACAGGGTAACAAGAGGCCTCAGATCAGCATCTTGAATATACACAGTAACTCAAAGCTCTGTGCCTTTTCAGCCTACTGGCACTGTCTTCCAAGAGGTCAGAATGAGATAACAGCTAGAAGGATAGCTACCAGACAGCCATTAAGGCACACTGATTTATTGTCCAATTGTAGGTGTGCATTGAAGGCCTATGAAAAGAAATATCAGACATGTTTTTGTTGAGTTACCATGTTGTTGGTAACACCACATCAATGAAAGATGAGCCACACAATTCTTCAATTAAGAAAACCACCCCAGCTTACCCTTTCTATCTCCTGAAGGTACAGGAGAGCAATATCTCCAGCCTTCTCGTAGCATGTAACAATTTCTTGTTCACGGTCCACATGGAGATTGCTAGCTGAGGAAGAAATTGGCAACTTCTCAAGACAGAGACCTGGGAGGCAAAAAAAAAATTCAAATGAAGCATTATAAGCTAATGTCATATAATATTATACACAAAACATAGTCCAGGTTAAGCCTCTTTAGCCAGGAGAAGAAACAAAGGAAATGAAGGTATGGTCCCCTGATACAGACACTAATAACTATGTAAATAACATTTAATAACAATTAATAGTTATAAATCAAGAAGCAGCAATTTTTTAAGCAATTTTTATTTAAAAGACATTATGACAATTGACCACAAAAGTACCTAGTGTCTTTCTATTCCAGTTTTACATCACTGGATTTGTCTTCATTTTTCCAGAATGATCATAGAAACCAATGCACAGTGAATAAAGGCACTCAAGGTAATATTAACTTACTTACTGTGCAAGGCAAAAGCATCTATAAAAACAAATGCATTTTAAGAAATAGAGGTGTTAGGCAGTGTAATTCTTGTACTTAAATTTAGAAGAGGTAGCTCACTCTCATCAAGGCCATGTACATCTTTTCTGCTCAGGCCTTATCCAACAAACACATTATGTGGTACTTTGAAGGAAAAAAATAATCTTTGCTTGTCTCAGATATAAACCCTACAACTCTTACTAATTAATCATATATCCTACACAAGTCACTTCTATTACAGTTATTTTCAAGATAATTAAAGAGCTGGAAAGAACCTCAAGAATATTAATCCATTCATCTGATCGAAGAATCAACCAACCTCTGACACTTGCCTAACCTGTTCTTAAAACCTTCTGACAATAGGGATGCCTTGACCTTCATATGTAAATTATTATAGAGCTCAACTATTCTCTCAATTAGTATTTTCTCCTCATGTCTAGATCTCCCTCTCTAGACTATTATTTCGATTCATCCTCAAAGAGAGATTATTCTGTTCTTTACAAAACATTTTTTCAGTATTCATCTAGAGAGAGAGACATGCTTGTAACAAAGAATGTCAATTCTCACTCATTTCTTTTTTCATGCTTCCTTGACAGCTAATCATTTTTATCTCCTCTTGACACTCTCCAACTGGTTACCTCTATCTTGACTCACTGTGCAAAACTGGATACACGGTTCCACTTGAGGCCTCAATAGCACTCAGCAGGGAAGATTAAAGATTTACTGGTTTTCATAAAAGATACTTTAAAAAAAAAACTTTGGTGTTTTCCCTTACATGTAAGTAAAAATTCTCTTCTGTTTATGATCTGCAACAGATCACCAGCTCATATTCTGCAAGTCAACTATCTCATTTTACATTTATTTGAATAATGAATTGCATTTGAACTAGCACTTTCCACGTGTTAAGAGATGTATTTCAGGTCATTCTTTTAGCTTGTCAGCAGTAAATGCTGATCATAAAGTGCCTTCAACTGCTCCCACATTAATATAATGCATAATTTAAATGACTGTATTCTCAATTCATAGTTGAAAGTTTTGAGAATCCATTGCTGAAGAAACTAAAAACAACAACAAAACACATGGTTATATACTGGGCAGAAGTCTGTAGAATGCCAGGTAGCACAAATCCAATTTGGAGAATAGTTTATCACAGGACTTCTGTCAATCAATACAAGGTGGGGACACTATGTTTCATTGCAATTACAAAAGAAAAGCCTAACTTCAGAAGATATGTAATTTGGAGGGGTTCTATGGATAAACTCAAAACTACGCAATATCTGTTGCCTCCAGATTATTTTAGAACATCTATTAAGTTTCAATACTAGTCTGTAAAAGTATATATCATTTGTATAAAAACACAGATTTCTGGCTTGAGAGGATGCCTTAAGTCTGTATCAGAGTTTGTTGGCCACCTTTACTCTCCAATTCACCCTTTTACCAGTACAAACAACATATAACCTACAGCTCTATTTGCTAGCTACACATCCAATTAAGACGAAATTCTGACTCCAGCACTATCCCCTCTGCTAAAAAAAAAATAACATCCAGTATACTTTTCAAAACCTACATATCCCTAAAGCATGGCAAATACACAAGTAGTCTGTCTCTTAAAAACCTGCAAAACCTGAGTTTTACAACAGACACTGGATTTTTCTCACGTCATAGTTTTCACCTAACATACTTCTAAAAATTTAATATATTTGCATATAGTCTAAAGTAGCTAACACTAATTTGCCTTTTTTTTTTTCAATTTTTCAATCAAATCACAAATATCTGAGAGGTTATTTTACTAACAGTAAGTCAGAGCTCCCAAAACAGCAAGATTACACTACAGAAAAAAGTCAGTTATCCTGCTACTACAGTAGTCTTGAACAGACCCTCTGATAAGAAGATCTACATGTAAGGTTGATACTGGATATAAAGTTTGCAGTGTCCTACACAAACCTTCAATCTCAGAGCTGACCACAGAATACAATAAATGAGCTGCAGTAAAAACGTCAAATGACCGAAAGCACCAGAGAGCTGGTCCGCAGATCACTCCTCCCCACTCCTCCTTTCCCATGACACTGAGAGCCAATGCCCCAGAGGTATCATGCCCTATATGAAGTATATAACTCAACTGACTATTTGTTGATTTGATTCAGATTTATTCTTTCTATTTTTATATTTTATGGCCACGACCATAATCTTTTAAATCTGAAAGACTCACTATAAGGGCATTCTCTCATTTCAGCTGAGAATTTTCTTTAAGATATGAAAATACCTCAGTGCTCTGCCAGAAATTTTAAGTAATGCAGCAGGGAACTACTAAATTCTAAATGTTCTTTGATGAAGTACAGAATACTCTTTCTTAGAGAAACTCTATCATATAATTACTATTCACTATATTTTTCTGGTATGTTTATTACAACCCAGGAAAGTACGTATATTTTAAGCATGCAACGCTTTGGAGCAGGAATTTTATTCGGCGAACTATCCTGAAATGACCACAACAGAATGGTTTGCACACTGTATTTCTTTTGATGACTCAAGGAATAATTGCAATTCAATACCGTATTAAAAATGAAAACATATTAACTAGATGAAAAATCCTGAATAAATTCTGATTCTGTAACAGGTTAAAATTTGAGTCACTCCAGACTACTCGTTTAATTTTTTTCCTAAAGACAGATGAAATTTAACAAATAATGTATTAAAGTACATAAAAGTACCATTTAATTTTAAACAGATACACACAGCAACACAGGAATAACAACCACATAATAATGCCCACTTCTTCATAAGAATACTGAGAGATGATGGAAGTTAATTAAAATAGGGATCATTACATTAGGCCCCCCCAGAAAAAGAAAAAGCACACGGTAATATAATAGAATTGAGAAAGACATGAAGTTAAAAAAACTCCACATATTGCCCTAAATTACTTGCTGAAGACTTCTCATAGAATCAGACAAGTCAGTTCTCACCTTTGTGTTTCTTCCCCCACCTGCCAGGCAGGAATCTCTGCTACTCTCCCCCCAAAAGGCAGGCATTTCTTTAACTGTTTACAAACTGCTTTGAGATATTCAGAAAATAGGTACACATTACTGCTACAAAATATTATTGCATTTGTTGTAAAGGTCATAGCTACCGATTTATTTAATTTTTATTCATTATTTTGTTTTATTCTGCATTCAGGAATATAATGACAATTGGTATCACAAGATGACTTGGATATTCATGACTTAAGTTTAAGCCCTTTCAGTTAAAACCACCTTCAAATAAAAGCTTCCAACAAACTGGGTCAGTTTTAATCTGGGAGGACACTTATCTCATACGTATCTAGTCCTGATATCAAGCAAGATGACTCCTGAGGGAAAAGAAAGTGAGAAGCAGTGAAATGAATACTAGTCCATACTAGTTAAGCTTACATGTTTTGCAAGGTAACTAAAATTGCTTGTCAAAAGAGCAGAAGAGTAACAAACAGCATTTGGACAAGAAAAGAATATTCCTGACATTTAAATTACATGATAACTTGCAAAGGTTTTCTTCAAATTTTCAAAAACTTTATAAATTACTCATATTTTGTAAAATATTGAGAAAGTAAACACTAGACAGTTTTATCACTTATTCCAAGTGGCATTCTTGTGTCTGTAGTCTCAAATCAGTGGCCAAGGTTATGCCAAGTAAACTATTTCATTTTTCACAAATAGAAAACCAGGCTGGCCCTACCACCACATATGCACAAACTGACCACTGCCCAAAAAAAGGATGCCTCAGTGACAACAGGTAACTAACTATACTTAAGAAGTCCTACGCAAGTAGCTAATCAACCATTTTTATGTTAAAAAACAAACAGAAAACCAGTCTTCTGTAGAAAGTTCTGCAGGAAAACCAATCAGCACTCCCATTTCACCATACAGAGTAAACCAAAAATTACTCTAAGGTCAAAAGGGAATCCACGGCACAGTTCAGATCTTTATTAACTACTCTTACCACACAGACCATTACTGAGATAATTTAAAAAACACAACAAAACCACAAGGCTAAGGCCTATCACATCGATAGCATGGTATATGTGAGGATTATCCATGACGCCAGCCAGTACCTTGCCTGTATAAATTTTAGAGCCCACAAGTAATAATGGACTCCATGGTTTATCTACTGTTTCCAGTAGGCAAGTCCAAGGACAGATGAAAAACAGTGAACTACTGTTTTATACTTAAGTCAATAAACACATTTTTTCAAGAGAGAGAGTTGCTTCAATAGATACAGATTCCTGGGTTTGCTTCCTGGTTTCCTTACCCGGGCATGTAAAATCCAAGTGTATTGGAGTACACAGCACTTAGTCTTCCCCATAAGATATGCAAAGTGTTCCAAATGTTGTAACACAAAAACCCCTTTCATCTCCTTTTAAAGAAACTTCATGTTTAGCCTATGTATTTAGAAGAAACAATTATACAGACTATGGCAAACACTTATTAGTAATTTTAAAAGAGAAACTGGAACAATATGAGTTATTGCTGTCAAGGAACTCCCACAGTTTATTTCTGAACTTAGAACAAACACCGCTAATTTCACTGCAGGGAAGGACTTATTTCTAGAAGTCTTCAATCAAAGATTGTGACTTGC